GAGTAGAAAAAAAACCTGGTTCAGGAGTCTCATCACGGCACCAACAAAATGGATTTGCTGCAGGTCCCCGGGACTGCTGGGTTGAGACCATGCATGGCAGGTCCCCAAACGAAGGTGGCTGGTCCCCAGCCATGTGGTGGCTGGCTGGTCCCCGGCAAGTGGTGTGGGCAGGGTGGGAGGCACAGATGCTGCAAGTCTCCAGGACTGCTGGCGACCCAAAAGCAGTCAACACTGGCAGCTTCCCTGGCCCAGATGACACCATGGCAGCCCAGATGACAGTGGCAGCACAGCCCTTGGATGCCAACATGGCCACAGGACATGGCTAGACTCTGGATATCCATGTGGCCTTTGGTGGCACCAAGGGCTACAGACATCACAGACTCTGATTATGGTCCCAGGCAGCAGCCCAGGCTCAGATGTCACTGTGGCCCCAGGGGGCAGTGTAGGCCACCTAGATCGTCAAGGCCCCTGCAGCAGAGTAATCCTTGGACACCAACATGGCCCCAGATGGCAGCCCAGAACCCTGACATCAGCATGGTCTTCAAAAGTACCTGGAGCCACAGCCATCGACTTAGACCCTGACTGTAGTAAGGCCATAGGCACAGACAGGGCGCTTGGCAGCAATCCTGACCTGGATGACACCATGGCCCCAGGTGGTAGCATAGGCTCTCAGGTTCCAGCATGGTCTGGGCTTAGATGTCACCTTGACCTGAGGTGGCAGCGTAGGCCACTCTGATCAGTAAGACTCCAGAGACAATGTAGCACTTGGATACCAACATGGCTCCAGGTGGCAGACCAGACCCCTAGCATCAGCAAGGCCCTCAACGGTATCATGAACCATAGACATCCACACAGACCCTCGCTGCTATAAGGCCCCAGACCGAGTCAAGGCCCTCAGCTGCAGCCTGGGTCCGGATGCCACCATGGCACACTGTGGCAGTTCAGGTCACTCAGATCTGTATGGCCCCGTAACCTCAGATTCTCACCTGGCTTCAGGTGACAGCCCAGACCCCAGGCATTTGCATGGCCTTTGGTGGTATCAGAAATCAAGGATATCAACACAGACCCTGGCTGTAGTAATACCACAAACCCAAACATGGCCCCTCATCACAGCCTGGGCCTGGATGTCACCAGGGTCTGGGGTGACAGCACAGGCCCCAGTGGAAGCCTGGCCCTAGAAGACCAATATGGACTTGCATGTTTGATCAGATCCCAGTCATCTGCCCAGCCTTTAGTGGTTACTGAAGACATTGACATTAACACAGACCCTGGGTGTTACAGTGTCATAGACAGGGACATACGCCTCCCCTCCCCCAGCCCCAGCAGCAGTCCAGGCCCAGATGTCATCATGCTTCCCAGTGGTAGCACCGACTACTCAGATCAACATGGCCACAGTAGCAGCATAGCCCTTGGCCATCAAAATGGCTACAGATGATATCCCATACTCCAGGCAACTCCATGGCCTTGGTGGCAACTTGGGTCATGGACATCAACATGGACCCTGGCTGTCAGAGAACCAGATAGGGCTGTAGGCAGCAGCCCAGGCCCGGACATCACCCTGGTCCCAGGTGGCAAGGAGGCTGCCAACATCAGCTCATTCCTCACTGCCCTCCCTCTTCAGACCTGCTTCTTACTGTACCACATGAACCACTCTGCCTCTCTTTCTCTCCCGTTTCTCCACCATATACTTGCTCATCATATTGACACCCAACCACCCAGTGCCTGCATGAGGATGCTTCAGGCAGCCCAGGCCACAAGGACCCAGGCTGCTCCGTTGGTCAGACAAGGGTTTTTAAGCAGCTTTGTAACTATGCCAAATGATAGAAAGGAAAATATACTCATTCGAATAGTGAACAGTAATCCTGCAACAACACAAATATGACCAGCCTGTAGATGTGGGAAGCTGCTTAAACATTTAGAAGAGTGGGCACAGTGAACCTAGCCAGAGCTACAGTAGCCTTGGATTTGTGTGTGTGTGTGTGTGTGTGTGTGTGTGTGTGTGTGTGTGTGTGAGAGAGAGAGAGAGAGAGAGAGAGAGAGAGAGAGAGAGAGAGATAGATATTACTTAGATGTGTAATATAACACTGGAACACACACTATTTCTCCCCAGTTAAACCAGAGAAAAACAATGAAAAAGAAGAATTCTGACTGCCCATCCAGTCTAGTTCACATAGCCATACATTAACCAATCAAATCCACTGTGGCTTGGGAGGCAATGTAGAGGGCTGGTTTTGAACTGCATAGAAACTGTGCAAGGGAGACTTGAGGTAGCATTCTTGCTGATAGGCTTGGCAAACCAAGTCAGGAGGAGGCAAACCTCTCCCATCAGTAGGGTGCCTTGCCAATGGTCAGTCCTTGAGAACACAGATGTGCTCTGTAGTTCAAAGGCTCTGATTAGGTTGTGGTTTGTCTTCTGATGAAGTGTTTTTACATATTATATCACAACAAGAGTTTTTCCCATGACACCGAGCTTTTTGTTTAGAATAGTTAGGGCATGAAGCTCTTGAAATTAGTCGCAACCAAGTGACTAGTCTATGAAACTATTTTCATGTATTATGGGAACCTAGTTTGAATTGTGATTTGAGTATTATAAAAAGAGCACTGGTTTTGCAATAAAGTATGCAGTTGTATCTCCTACTCTGCATCCCCTGTGTCCTGATTTCTGCGGCACTACCCAGGGCCATCCATAACTGAGGAGGTTGGGGAAGGGCCCCTAACAAGGCAAGACACTGAATGGAAGATCCCACTAGAACTGCATGGCTGGAGAGAAAAATGGCAGGACAACAAACAGAACAGCCGATTTCTAGTCCCTGAGATTGCTCAGTGGGTAGAGGTACCTACCCCAAGCCTGATCACACAGTGGAAGCAAAGAGACAACTGCAATGGTAAAAGGAAATCACCAACTTCCACAAGATGTACTCTGACCTCCACATGTGTACACACACACATCAATAAAATAGAACAAAAATATGGAGTCTAACTGGCGTCCTGTGTTTTCAGCTTTAATCGGGGACAATTACATACTCCAGGCAATCATCCAGATAATGTCAGAGCCCTGGATTGTCTTTTACAACAGAGATAGCTAGCTATCCCTGCCCTGATATCTGTTCTTCTTTGTCTCCATCTTGCATTTTCATGCATACAGTATGAATTTGCAGGCTGCAGTTGTCTCTAAGATGCTGAGGACCATTAGGAATAAGGAGTACAATCCTGTTCAACTCACTGTGATTTGGATGTCTGGAAACTTACACCCGAGCCTGCTAACTCTTAACATTCTCATTTCCCACAGCTAATCAAGGCAAAACAATGAAGTCCTTCATATGCTCAACTATGTTCATAGCAGCTTTGTTTGTCATAGCCAGAACCTGGAAACAACCTAAATGCCCCTCGACCGAAGAATGGGTAAGGAAAATGTGGTACATTTGCACAATGGAGTACAACACAGCAGAAAAAAAATAACGACAGCTTGAATTTTGCAGGTAAATGGACGGAGCTAGAAAACATTATTTTGAGTGAGGTCACCCAGACACAGAAAGACAATTATCACATGTACTCACTCATAGGTGGTTTTTAAATATAAAGCAAAGAAAGTCATCCTACAAACCACAATCCCAGAGAACCTAGACACTAAAAGAGACTTACATAGATCTAATCTACATAGGAAGTAGAAAGTAGAAAAAGACAAGATCTCCTGAGTAAATTGGGAGGATGGGGACCTTGGGGGAAGATTGAAGAGGGGAGGAGAGAGGCAGGGAGGGGAGCAGAGAAAAAATGTTGAGCTCAATAAATATCAATAAAAAAAGGGTCACCAATGATCTCCGCTGCTAAGCTCTGCTGTAAACGCTGTCACAGGTGTGAGAGCAGAGAAGAGAACCACATTATTTAAAAAAAAGTTCAATTAACTGACATCTAAAGCAGAAAAAAAAAACCTATTGTCAACAACAGCAAAAGTGAGTGGCAACACTCCTCAGGGGCTACTTATTCAGGGTGCTGTAGGACTAAATCCACGTCTTCCATGTGTATTTTGGACATTTATTCGTGTAATCTGCAATGACCACCCAGGACATATCCAGGACTGAAGACGCTCCCTTTGTGCTTTCCCACTTGGCAGACCCCTGGTAAGAGTGACCACCACTCTGATGGTCACTGGCACTTGATGCCAACACCACTGGGTACCACTGCAGTAGAGTTTAGGAGCCAATGTGCTGCAATACATGTTTTCCAACTAAAACAACAAAATAACAACAACAACAAAAACAATAAAGTCCTTAAGAATGGATGTTAAGAATGGATGTTAGAGCCAGGCCTGGGAGTACAGGCCTGTAATTTCAGCTACTTGGAGGGCTGAGGCAGGAGGATAGCAAGCTGAAGACCTGCTTAGGGTTAAAGGTCAGCCTTTGGTAGGTAATGGGATTGTTTAGATATGGTCAGTAGTAGAGTGCTTGTGAAAAGCCATAGGTTTAATCTATGGAGGGGAGTGGGGAGGTGATGGTTAGCCAAAACACCAGAGTTTAGAAACTAGGTTCTTCCAATTACCAATTCTGCTCAGCAAATGTCTTTATCTCTATGTTCCTGTTTTATCATGCAGAAATGACATTAATGATGCTTATCTCAGGCTTGCTGTGAGGACTTAACAAGATAACAATAATGCTTACTCTATGGTTCAGAGTGTTCCTATTGCTTGTAGGGCTTGCTAGTTTTATCTGCTAAGGATCTTCAAAGACGGTACTGTTCCCCACAACTTAAGTGTCCCTTTACTTCATTTTGATGGGTTTCTGTCTCCAGTCCCATTCCTCCATAGGAGTCCCTATGCTGCTCCAGCTTGATCTTTGTAACCCTTGCTCTGAACAGGTCCTTCTTATCTGAAAATTACTGACGACTCTCCATCATTTACAAAATATAGTTCCGAGTCCTTTGGCCTGATAACCAAGCTCCATTAGGACAGGACTGTCTTAGTTACGGTTTACAGCTGAAACAAAATACCATGACCAAAAAGCAAGTTGGGGATGAAAGGTTTTATTTGACTTAGACTTCTACATTTCCGTTCATAATCAAAAGAAGTCAGGACAGGAACTCAAGCAGGGGAGGAACCCAGAGGCAGGAGCTGATGCAGAGGTCATGGAGGGAGCTGTTTATTGGCTTGATTCACAGGGTTTGCTCGGCCTACTTTCTTACAGAACCCAGTCCAGGAATGGCAGCACCTATCACAGGCTGGGCCCTCCCCTATTGATCACTAATTGAGAAAATGCCTCACAACTGGATCTCACCGAGGCATTTCCTCAAGTAAGGCACCTTCCTCTCTGATGACTCTAGATTATGTCAAGTTGACACACGAAACCAGACAGTACAAGGACCTAACTAGTCTTTCTGGGCTCACCTCCTGCCAAAACACTGTACATCTCAGCCACATGGAACTCTTCCTTACCAACACCCCTCTAGCTGCGTATAAGGGGCTCCTGGTCAGGCCTTCCTGAAGTCTCTCCTCCTTTGGCTGCAATGACAACACACTGTCTTGGTTTCCCTCTAACCTCTGTAGCTATTCCTTTCCTATCTTCCTCCAGAGCTTCTCATTTTTTAATTACTTGCTAAAATCTGTAAGGGTTTCTTAACACTTCCCTTCCTGTTCACTACATATTCTGTCCGTGAAGGATGCCATCTAATTTTAAGCACCACCTATGTACTTAGGACTCTCTGGTTTTCACTCCCGACTTCTCTCTTATGTTTTGATCTCCCAAATCCTGACAGACGGCAAATTCCTAGCAGTCACCTCAACCTCAGCATGGTCAAAACTGAATCCATCTCCCCTACCTCAAACCAGCCTCCCCATTTTGCTCTGAATCTTCAAGGGGCATCACTGTTCCCCAAGCCTGAAGCTCCTCATTCTCCACATAGGAAAGGTTCCCAAACCGTGCTAACTTGCCATCTCTGCAACTCTCCACTCGTCTTTTCTTCGTACCTACTGCCTTCACCCTAGTTCTCATCTGCATCCTCTCTAGTGTGAACTGCAATAGACTCCTCCCTGCTTCCAATCATCCATGTTTTCAAAACAACTAGCAACCTTTATCTACCTCCAATGAAAACCTTACCATGGCACAGCCATGCTATAAAAATCTCATTGGCTCCCAATGCAAAGTTAGACAAAAGGACACTGCTTCCTACTGCATACCAGTAACTGAGCTGTGTATAAGAAATGCAGTGTTGAAGACGAAATGCTCCCTGCTTTTAAATGACGACAGATGCAGAAAAACTAATACCATAAGGCTTGTGATGGATATTCTCATAGAGCGTTATAGGAACACGAGACAGAAGTCCTTGAGGACAAAGACTATGGCTTCCTAAAATCTGGAACCCCAACAGGACTAACTGATTCAGCAGGGAATGTTACCTGAAGCCTGAACATATGCTCTTCTCTGGTCCAGAGCTTCCCTGTACATAAAATGTCTCACAGTGCACACTTCAAGTGAATCCAATGTATAAAGTTTGTCTGGATTGTGATTTAAATAACACAACCAAGTAAGTCTGAACACGGGCCAGATATCCGATTGGATTTTAGGTTTCCTATCAGTACTGCCATTTTCAACTTCCTTACCTTCTAGAGGTGTGGAAGAAAGTATTCTAAAATGAATGTCACCGCCAAGGTGCCTGAAAAATTACACAAGGCTGTGGAGTTAGGGGAGTCACACTTGAAACAATGCCGGCAATGCCTAGTAAAGAATTGCTAAATCAAATTGATAGACACAACGACAAATTGATCTTTCAGGGGCTCATATTTTTCATAGCAATTTAGCTAAACTAAAATATATTTCTGATTAGAACAGCTGATGTCTCAAAAACTGTTAGTTTTGCTTTTCTCCCCATCCTAAAGGATGTAAACATCCAGCCCTATGGTGGCAAATCCAGGGAGGACCAGTGGTGTGGGAACTAGAATCTCAACAGCTGAAGAACTATCCCGTGCACCACGTCTCTCTTCTACCTGGTAAAGTCACAGCAGGTACAGCACCACAGGGCTCCCAAAGCAGCCTCGGACATGAATGGAAGTGTTCTAAAACAAACGGAAAACAAAGAAATAAAATCACCACTTGAACTTCTGTAGCAAGGACAGAAAACCTGATGTAGGCACAAATATGGCGTCTAGGCAGGAACGAGGCCTGTCTTGGCCTATGCTGCTTAAATCCATATGCAATTTCGCCACCTGGCGGCTACTTGGCATTATTGCATCAAGTTGCGTTATACATTCTGTTCTGAGAACTCTAGTTGTAATTAAAAATTCTGGAAAGGGCATAAAGCCTCTGAGTGAAATGTTAAGTGAGGCATTTAAAGGTAATCATACACTTCCTCATATCTTACAGAGTTTCTCTGAGGATCAAAAAATGGCACTTATAATTGAGGGTTGAAATTATTTATTTATGGGGTTTGTGGAACGGCTTAGCTATTATTCCATGCCCATGGAAAAAGAAATTATCTGTTAGAAGCAAAACCCACATGGATTCATTCATTGCCAATGATACTCATCCTGTAGCCTGCTCATGAACACAATTCAGCCTTGCTCTAAGACAGTACTGTAGAAATTTCAAGACACAAAAAGAAGCCACACTGTTCTTTTTTTTTTTTATCAGTTTAAATCCTTACTACTGCTAAGGAGTTCTGACTCAAACATCTACACATAGCAAAATTATTATTGCAAGCAGAGATTGATTGTGCTCTAAATAGAATAAAATCTATGCATAGGAGCTTTCTGAACGGCAGAATAATAACCTTCCCCAAACAGAATGACTGAGTTGAAGATGTATGTTGGTAATGAAGCACTTGCCAAGCAAGCACTATGGACTGAGTTAATTTTTAGTACTGTGTACACGCGCGCGCGCGCGCGCACACACACACACACACACACACACACACACGGGCATGCACACACAGTCACAATATTAGCAAAAGTGTTGAAATCAACATTTTCAATGTTCTAGAAAATATTAAAATAATAATCGAGAAAACAATTTAAAAAAAAACACCAATCTTTGTGGCCTTTTACCGTTCCTTAGTCTAATACTTCAATCTCCTGCTTAGTCCAATACTTCATTCTCCTGGTCACTCTTGAAAACCTTATAAGCTTTCAGTTCTACCACAAGAAATGAACTGTGGTGACTTATGTAGACTTGGGCCCTTGGAATGGATAAGCACCTAGAGTAATTTCCACCACAGAACTGCCAAGCACCACAGACTACGCTGCCGTCCCTGGCCAGAATCCCAGGCGCAGTATCAGACACACACTCAACTGCTCAGCAGGCACAGACCCTCGTGGCTCTGGGCAGTCTAGTGAAAACGGCTTCTGTTTATTTTACCGGGCAGTCAGGATTTGGTGCTTACTATCTGATTCAATTCCACCTTAACTCTACAAGCATCCGCAGCTGCATTCATTCACAAACTGAAAGGCCGTGTTTAGGTAACTTGTCTGATTCTCCACAGACAGAAGAAGTCATGGGGATAGGAGCTGCTGTCCGGCTCCAAAGCTTTCCCCACCATGTTGGATTCTGCCAGGCCAGCTTGGCAGCACTCTTGGCAGCACCAATGGTCCTGGACGTCCTTGCATGCCAGGAACTGTCTTCCTGGAAAGGACTTCTGGTACAAGGTAGAGCTGTAGATGTAGGTAGAGCTGTAGGTGGCATTTCCATCTCCTAAACTCCCCCAGTGACCCAGAGATCCCAGGAACAATTCAAGGGAGCACGTGGGAACCCGGAAGGCTTGAAGACTCTCGACCCAGGGAGGCCAAAACCCAAGCTTTGTTCTCTCATTTTAAACATTGGGTTCTTTCAAAGAATAGAGATTTATTTTGCTCTCATCTTACATAGGAAGAAACTTGAGTCTTGATGACATTCGTACAGTGGTAATTTGACAGAACTGGGTTTTGACCTAAAGCTAGCTGGTTTCCTAACTCATCACTGTGACTGCCTCAATTATGCCTTCAATATCCGCTGAAAGTATCTGCTAAGACTTCAATGTCCACTTAATAATTAGGATCCTAGAGATCACAGGTGGGTACCTACAGTTTGGTCCACATCATTCTCTTTATTTGAACCTTTTGTCGGTGCAAGGAAATAGGAACGGCTAAGTAAGAGGCTAATGCAAAAAAGCCAAGGCAGAGTTGGATCTGAACCCAGATCTGGCCATTTCCAACAGTTAGACACCCCCATAAATGGTAATTTTATATCCACTATTCCTTGGACTCTTATTTCTAACCAATAAACTTTGTTGTTTTTTTTTTTTTTTAAAGAAAACCTTATAAGCTGTGGAAACTAGATGCTGACACCACTGGATATGTACCTGGAAAAGAAGGAAGTAAAAGTGCAAATCTCTGTAAGATTAGAGATTGACACGGACTTTTACAATGAATGAAACAAGAGACACTCTGTGTCCATCATGGCGAGGTCAATTGGTAGTGCTACTCTAGAGCCAATATCTTCGAGTGCTCATTAACAAAACAATTCCAACAACAACACTTGGAATCTATTCTTATTAACAGAAATGATGACATACCCACAAAAGCTAACAAAATAAAATAATTTAAAAGGGAACTAAAATCAAGTATGGTGGCACATGCCTATAATTTCAGCACTGGGGAGGCAGAAGCAGGAATATAGTGAGTTCAGGCCAGGCTGGGATACATTGAAAAATCTTATATCCAACACACACACACACACACACACACACACACACAATCTAAATTCTACCACATTAAAGGAATGAAACTCCCATCCTCACTATAGGAAATTTTATTATATTATTATTTTCCTCACAAATAATGATAAAAATAAGCAAACACCCCCTTCTAACTTCTAGTAAATATACTTCTAGCAAATAAGCACTGTGACCGAAGAAAATTGAAGCACTAAATGTTTTCACAGATGTGTTCCCTGAGACATATGCTCCCATAAGATTCAATCATTCCTACCTGACAGTCACTTTAAGGACAAGGTGTTGTAAAGTCAAAACTTACGCCAAGTTTGCTTTATCTCCTCACACAGACAGTCTATGGGAGTAGGTGTGCATCAGGACAAGGACTAGGACAGAGAGAAGAGATCAATGTCAGAGGAAAAGGGCAATAACTCATCGTGAGAAATCACTCGCTTTCCAAATGTGTGCGTGTGCACGCGCATGCACGTGCTTGCCTGCCTGTCTGTCTTGCTGACTGGTTATTCCGCATGCTAGAATCTAAACCCTCCAAGGTACTATCCATCCAGCTGACGCATTCAGCTATAAAGCCTGGCTTTGGGGCCAAATGCTTGCTTGTATTAATAAAAAACAATCTATGTAAAACAAGCAAATTAATTTATTTAGAATTTTGACCAAATCTGAGGAAAAAGAAATTCTCGATTTCTCTGCCTTGCCCTTACTGCTACAACTTACAGAAGAGATTAAACCATAGTTGGTTTACCATACCACAGTGGAAAAAATACCACTACAACTTTGTGGTGGAGTGTTTACCTAGCAGGTATGAGACCCTAAATTAAATACATTACCTGAAAATTTTTTTTTAAAAAAATGATGAAGCAAAAATTGGGAACTATGCAAGTGAAGATTTAGTCCAGGGACCTCCAGTTACCTGAAGAGGAAAATATCCATACTTCTCCTGGTGCTAAATACTAGCGCTCTTCTACGGGGCCTTTTTCACTCCCAAGCTGGCATTTCTGGGGAGGTTCTCAGTTCTTGAAGCATGGTTTCAATCTTAGAATCTTCCTGCTCCATAGACAGAGCAGAAGAGACCACCGAGGCCAGTGTGGATGTTCTGGGTTTTGTTCTTTTGTTGTTGCTGATTTGGTTTGCTTGTTTTGTGTGTATCGGTGTTTTGGGGCTGAATTTCATTTGTTTCGCCATCTGTCCGGGGAGAGATTTGGCGGGGAGCCGATGGAAGTCTACAATTAATGAAAATGTCCCCTGGTGGGAAGGTTCCAGAGGCTGGTGTAATTGTGGGCTGCCTCCTTCTAGGACACTGGTTAAGGCCAATCTGTGAAAGGAGATGCCAAATAAAGATCAGCTGCAATTGCATTTCTGATTCCGTGTCCCTGAGTTAAAAAAAAAAAATGATTATATCTTCTGAGGAGAGAGTTTATTGTAGGTAGGAAAAACACTGTCTGCCGCATTTCTCTATTCTTCCTTTTTATAATTAACCTTTCCGTCAATTAGTCTGTCACAAATTTATTTTCCTACATAATTTACCAGAAATTAGAAATACCACTTTCATGTTGTTGATGACTTAACTGGGAACAAGTCCTGCTGTAAATGACAACCAAGAAAGGGATTTTAATTGAAAATGGAAAATTGGTCATCTTAAACTTGTCTGGTACAGGCAAACCTGAAGGAAAACTCGTTTCTTTAATTTAAGAAGATCATCTTTGTTCCACAATCCAAGCATACACAAGGACGTCACAAACAATTCCATTTTTAGTACAGTCAAACAAATACCAGGAACTGAAAAAAGAGACCTAAAATTGTCGGAGAAAAGCATGACATTATTTTAGGGGGAGGATTTAATAAAAACAAAACCAAAAAAGCAATAAACTGACCAAGAAGTCGCAGAGAAAAATGGGAGCGCAGCAAAGGAAGAACCCTACTACACAGCAAAGCAGGGTAAAAAAGACAACAGCATCCGGGTCAGGAGGAAATGTCTGCAAGCCACACATCACATAAGAAGCTGGTGCAGAAAATCTATAAAGAACCCAGTTGCACAGGGCGGTGGTGATGCACACCTTTAATCCCAGCTCTCCGGAGGCAGAGGCAGGCGGGTCTCTGTGAGTTCCAGGACACCAGGGCTGTTACACAAAGAAACCCTGTCTCAAAAAAGCAAGAGAAAAAAAAAGAACGCAGTTGCAGGAAAAAAGGAATACATACATGTAGCCAAGAGACATATGAAGAATTGCCCATAAATGATACTGATATATATCTTCCTGTGACACTGGTTAATTACCGAAATCAGTTCAAATTATTACCACAGATTGTCTATGTGAAGAGATAAAGCAAACTCGTGAGAATTTTTGACTTGCAGTGAACTCTAGATAGATGGCTCAGGATCATTTCTACCTTGTCAGGGAGAAGCGCTCCCCCTGGTGGTCTAGCTAGGGACTGCTGCCACCAATGTCTGCCTATCAAAGAGAAATGAACATCAGCAGGAGTGCTCATAATCAGAGCTTACTATAGCCTGGTGTGGTAACACGTCCAGCCAGTCCGGCACTCACGAGGCTGAGGCAATAGCTTCGTGAATTCCGGAATAGCCAGATAAGTTCCAGGCCAGCCTGATCCAAATAGCAAGGCCTCTCAAAACAAAAAGGTAAGAAAACTACAAAAGTAAATCAGCATTAGCAGTGGTAATAATTTGAACTGATTTTGATTAACCAGTGTCCCAGGGAGATATATATGTGAGGAGATAAAGCAAACTTTTTGCCTTGCAGTGAACTGTATCTAGATGGCTCAGGATCACTTCCACCTTGTCCGGGAGAAGCACTCCCCCTGGTGGTCCAGCTAGGGACTGCTGTGACTAATATTAAAGACACATGGTATCAGGACGGGACCCTCTGCTCTGCAAGTGATACTGCTTTTGTTTACGCCTGGGAAGCAAGGAATTCCTTAGCGCTTGGCAGCAGCTTGCACTATAGCTTTTCAGCTGGCCTGTGTATCAACATCAGTCAGACCTTGACATTGACCAGTGTTCCAGTTTGAGGCTTAGTGTGTCTGGGGTTTGACACCTCGCGGGAACTCTTCTAGCAACCAGCACCTTCGGTTTTTCTCTGAATCTTTACAGCTTTCTATCTGTCTTCAGCCTCAGCTCCCCGCCCTTCCTACGTCCATAACCCATTTTTTCCTGCCTTTCCGGACGTCTAAGCATCTCATCCTTTAGCTGTCACGCAGCCTTGCCACTTTTGTACCTTGGCCTGCTAACCTCATAGTCCCGCGTCTTCAGCTATCAGCGGGCGCCTTGCAACTCTGACAGCACCAGCTTCTGGACGAGCTGTTCCCGAGGCTGCGGCTCTGCTGCTGCTTCCGTGTTACCAGTGCAGAGCTGGATTTTTCCTTGGGCCACCAGCTCCTAAATAATGACACGGAGACGTCTTATTAATTATGAAAGTTTGGCCTTAGCTTAGGCTTTTTTCTAACTAATTCTTTTAACTTAATTAACCCATATTCCTAATCTACATTCTGCCACGTGACTCATATCTCTCATCCATACTGCATGTCCAAGTTTGGCTGCGACTCTGCCTTTCTTCTTCCCAGAGCGCGCTCTCTCTCTGCCCAGAAGTTCCACCTGTACTTCCTGCCTAGCTATTGGCCATTCAGCTTTATAGTAATCACAGCAATACGTCTTCATACAGTGTACAAATATCCCACAACACCATGTTACTCTAAGCAGAATACAAATAACCCCTTGGGGAAAGCTTTTTATTAGCTCTACCGTTACAGCACCAGGGGAAACAGGCCAGGAGACTGTCTCCCAAGCTGACTCACCAGGAGAGCCAAAGAGCTTGCTTATATGGTTCAAAGTGGGGTGATTTCTCCAATCATAGTAAATACGCACAATGAAGGATTGTGCTTGTTTGTATCCATGTGTTGGCATGGCTAGCATCAAAAAGAGAGGCTAGAGTTGCAGCACAATGATGTAGTGCCTGGCCCGCATGCCAGGACCCTGGGTTTTAGCAATACCGCAGAGGGGCTGCTGAGATGGCTCAGAGAGCAAAGGTATCTACCATCGAACCTGACAACCTGAGTTCAATCCTCAGGACCCACACGGTGGAAAGAGAGCACCAACTTCTGCAAGTTGTCTTCTGACCTCTACATGGCTGCTATGGCACACAGTATACATATACACACACACATGTACAAACACATATATGCACACAATAAATAAAAGAAATTAGCACACAAAAAGTTGAGTGTTGGGAAAGATATGGAGAAGGGGAACATGTATTATTAGTGACAATGTAAATTTGTAGTGTCGTTATGGAAAACTACATGCACTTCCTAGAAATTAAAAACAGAAGAACCCAAACTTACCATATAATGCTTCAAACCTAAATTTTGGGTGGTGCAAAGGACCACACCAAGGACCTTTCACTGTTAGGTAAGTGTTCCACCACAGACTGCTCCTCAACCCCACTTTTTGTACACTCAAATTTGAAATCAGTATAAGGAAGAAATACATGCAGCCCTATATCCATTGCTGTATTAGTGACAATAACTACATTAGTCAACCTCAGTGTCCGGTAATAGACAGATAAAGTAGGGCACATCTACAGAATAAAACACTTTTCTCCTTATAAAAAGTTCTCTCCCTTTCAGCAACACAGATGAAACCTCGCATGAAATGTGATAGGTGTTTAAAGAGCAACGAATACTGGGTTGGCAGAGGTGCTAGGGAGTTAGTAGCACCTGCTGCTCTTTAGAGGACCAGAGTCCAGCTCCCAAGACCCATAGCAGTGGCTTACAACCACATATAACTCCAGCTCCAGGAGATCCAATACTTCTTCTGACCTCTGTAGGCATCTGCATATATCCCTCGTCTCTCTCTCTCTCTCCGTGTCTGTCTGTCTGTCTGTCTGTGTGTGTCTCTCTCTCTTACCCACACACAGACACAAAGCAGAGAGTGTGGCAAACATTGCATAATATTTGAGGAATCTAAAAACTATCATGTTCTTGGAAACAGATGAAGAATGGTGGTGACATTTATTTGTAAATAATAATAATAATATCCTAAGCCTGGATGGAGGGAGAGGGCCTTGGACTTCCCACAGGGCAGGGTACCCTGACTTCCCTTAGGACTGGAGGAGTAGGGTTAGTGGAGGAGTGGGACGGAAATGGGAGGAGGGGAGGTGTAATGCCCTGTCTTCCCTGTTCCTCGAGGCAAAGCACGGGATGCAAGAAATGTTTACTTATGCTAACCAGCTTAGCTCCCCCTGTTAGATTCCGCAAGTCGGAGGGGATTAGTTCAGAACCTTGTTTCTGTCTTTGCTACGGTAATTTCATCTGCTAAGGAGGGTTCTCACAGGCACCCTGAATCTCCTCCTATCTGTCTGTCAGGGTTCCCAGCTTGGTACCCCCTGCTGAAAGCTCCTGCCACTGGTGCCAGGCACTTAACACCTTGATCTCACACCTGGCTGGGAGGGTCTCCTTCTCTCCTCTGGGGAAAAGTATTTAACCTGACAAATTCTAAATAAAATTGGGCATTCTCCTCTTGAGAATGACTTGAACTCTGTATCTGTGTGTGTGTGTCTGTGTTTTAACCCCTAGGACATTAGAGCTCGTGAGAAGTATGGAGTCAAGGTCCATACCGGTTGGGTGGTGATGCAGACCCCGTGGCGTGGAACGACCGCCACAGGGAGGAAGTGGAAATTTTGAATGTTATTATTTACAAAGCAATAAAAAATAATAAAAGCAAGCAAACAAAGAAAAAACCAAAAGCTTTCACTGGAGAGTGATTAAAATAGGAAGATGGTAGTCAAAATGTGGGAAGACAGCCGGGCGGTGGTGGTGCACACCTTTAATCCCAGCACTCAGGAGGCAGAGGCAGGTGGATCTCTGTGAGTTTGAGGCTAGCCTGGTCTACAAGAGCTAGTTCCAGGACAGCTAGGACTGTTACACAGAGAAACCCTGTGTCGAAAAAAAATGTGGGAAGATTCAGATATAGGAGTAAGTTTTGAGACCTATTGCTTAGCATGAAAACTATGCATTTCAAAACTGCTAACAGTATATTACAAATGTTCCCACTACAAAAATAGTATTCTGGGTGATTGTCATATTACCTTGATTTATTCAAAGTTGTATGCAGAAATTCAAATGTCACTTTTGACCACTAGCTATGTGTGGTTTATTGATAAAATAACACAACTAAAATCAACAAGATATTTTCTATTCAGTATGTAAAAAAATAAAAATTAATAAAAGCAGCCAAGCAAACAAACAAAAACCCAATTTCATACCCATGATTTAGTTCAGAGCTGACCACTGAGCATGAGTTAGCCTTTCTTACAGTTGCAATTTTGCAAAACACACCAGGAATTGAAGTCCTCCATGAAATTCCATGCTAGAGTGAAAAAGCCTGGTGCCAGGAGAAAATGTAACTTCCCAGGACCCATAACTTGATATACAGCTAAATCCAGGGATGTGTCTTGATTCCACTTGACCTATTGTATGCTGTAACATTGCTATGTGCATGGCAGAGAAAAACAGGTGAGTTTTCTCTACCCTCTGATTTAGGAAAGAAAACTGTAAAAATCTTCATTTGTTCTACATACTTTTATTTTTAAGACTTTAAGATTTATTGGTGTATTTATTTATATGTGTATACATGTTTTGAGTCCATGTCTATCATCTGGGCATGCCTGGTCCCCACCAAGGTCAGAACAGGGTGTCAGATCCACTGGAAGCAGAGTTACAGGTGGCTGTGCGGCACTATGTGGGATCTGGGAATCCTACTTAGTGCTTTTCGAGAGCAACGAGTGCTCTTAACTGCTGAGACCTCTCTCCAGCTCCTATCTTTACTTCTTAATGTGGGCATACATTTAGTCTCAGAACAAATTCCTATGGCCTGGGACTCTACTTTTCTTTTTGTTCTGAGACAGGGTCTCATGCAGCCCTGCCCTGCCTCCACCTCCCAAGTGCCCTCAGTTAACACAGTTCTGGCAATGGGAATACTCAGGGCTTCCTGCAGATTAAACAAATTCTCTACCAACTGAGCTACATCTACAGACTTCTAGTTTAGTGGTCTTATGTCAGCCTTAAGCGTGGTGGCGCATGCCTTAATCCCAGCACAAGGGAGGCAGAGACAGGTGGATCTCTGTGAGTTCAAGGCCAGCCTGGTCTACAAATCGAGTTACAGGATAGTCAGAGCTGTTACACAGAGAAAGCCTGTCTCAAAAAACAAACAAACAAAATGTTTTTCTTGTCCTCTCTATTCAGACCACCAGTTCTCTAGTTATAGCCCACAAAGCAACATATTAACCCATGGTATTTGCACATTAAATTCAGGGCCCATCACAGGACAGCAGAAAGGAACTCTATGAATGGAAACCAGTGTCGAGGCAAAACTACAAAATTTGTGTCAATGGGAGTAAGAGACAGTTTGTCCTGGAGCTAAGTTTGAGTGACCCAGGAGCATACGCTCAGGTTGCCCTGAATATCATGTTCCAACATGACGACAGGTTATGAAGTTATCATAATGATAAAACAACTGAAAGTCACAGAGCAAGGCAATTTTCTGGTAGACAGGCTAAAGCAAGGTGGAGGAATCTATTATATGCTTCGAATGCTATGTGATGACATCATTAGGGCTTTGAACTGGTGGAAGCTAGTGGTCTGTTAGGAAATCCTAAAAGGAGTTTTACCTAAACGTCACAAAGCTATTAGGCTGAGCACAGACGTGGACAATGGATGGCTATTAATGAGGCTGAAAGCAGGGTGTGGTGACACCCATCTTTAATCCCAGCACTTGGCAGGCAGAGGTGGGCAGATCTCCATGAGTTTGAGGCCAGCCTGGTCTACAGAGAGAGTTCTAGAACAGTGAGGACTACACAGAGAATCCCTGTCTTGAAAAACTCAAATCCAAAACAAAGAACAAGAGGCTAAAATAGCCCGGGATAATTTGGCTCCAAATTTGCACTACTCAGAAAGCACAGAAGTTCTAACCAGTGAGCCTTCCAGAATCTTTAACAAACGTGCAGCCTTTTTCTGAGAACTCCAACCTGTATTTTAATAAGTCATCCAGATGATTCAGACACAGAGTTTGAGATTGTCTGCTATCCTGTTGCTTCTCTGGCTAACAGCAGCAGGTTTCGGGGACTCCAAATCACTAGAAGACTGCTTGCTTGGTGGGTACACAGTTCCCTGCTGTGAAGTCAGTTTCCAACACCCAATAATTAGCACAGAAGTATTCCACATATTCCGGCCTGTGAGGTGGTGAACCCTGTACCACGTGAAATTACAGGCTCCACAGTGGACTGAGCTCCCAAGGTCCTAATAAGGAGCAGAAGGAGGGAGAACATGAGCAAGGAAGTCAGGACCACGAGGGGTGCGTCCACCCACTGAGACGGTGGTACTGATCTAATGGGAGCTCACCAAGGCCAGCTGGACTGGGACTGATGGAGCATGTGATCAAACTGACTCTCTGAAAGTGGCTGACAATGAGGGCTGACTGAGAAGCCAAGGACAATGCACTGGGTTTTGATTATACTGCATGGACTGACTTTGTGGGAGCCTGGTTTGTTTGGATGCTCACCTTTCTAGACCTGGATAAAGGGGGGAGGACGTTGGACTTCCCACAGGGCAGGGAACCCTGACTGCTCTTAGGACTGGAGAGGGGGGTGGTGTGTGGGGGGAGTGGGAGGGAAATGGGAGGAGGTGGAAATTTTTAATAAATAAATAAATAAAAATGTAAGAAAAAAATTACAGGCTCCATGGGAAAATGGAGTGCTTGCCAGGTTAAGAATCATTCTCCAGGAGGGTGCTTCTGTTGCACAGGAAAATGATCTGACCACCAATTAACTACTTTGGGCCTTACGTAATACTTAGTCCTCCAACAAGTGGTACCCAGAGATAAAACCAGGAAGAAACACGAAAGCATTTTACCCTCCAGTGTTTCCTCCAGCTTTCGCTTGGCCTTCTTTTCCTTCCATCTTTGTGCGTGTGTGTGTGGGGGGGGGGCGGAGAGAGAGAGAGAGAGAGAGACTGAGACAGGGTTTTGCTATGGAGCCCTGGTCGGCACTCACTATCTAGCAAAGGATGACCTCCCACTCTTGGAAACCCCCCTACATCAGCATACCACACAATGGGGCTTCTCTTCAAAACCTTCCTTTTCAACTGTGTGTATGTGTGTGGAAGACAGAACCTGTTCCACACACATGGAGGCCAGAGGAGGATTTAGGCTATTCTCCGTCTCTGGACATTATTTTCTTGAACTGGAGTGTCTCACTGAATCTGTTGCTAGGCTGGCTGGCAACAGATCCCATGGCTCTCCCTGTCTGTGATGGCACTTCCAGCTAACTATGTGGGTGCTAGGGATTTGAACACAGGTCCTCATGTTTGCACATCAACAATTCTTTTTTTTCATTTTTAATAGCCTCACATCAACAATTCTTATCCCAAGACTGATGCAGAAGACTTTCAAAGTGACAGAATTAATGTCTTAAAGGCCCTATTAATAGATTTGCTTAGGAGACATTAAGTCACACAAAGTAGAACTTAGCTAAGGGAACGCTGCCTCCATAGCACCACAAAGATACAGTGTGCTAGCCACGCCTGTTTGAGATAAGCAGTTACCATGTTAGGATGTACATTACTGTTTGCCAGGACTCACCAGACATTAGGTCCGCCGCCCCCAGAGAACAAGTCTCCAACAGGCATCTTGAGGGGGCCATGCAGGGTCACAAACACCACTAAGTCCTGGGCTGCAATTAGGTGCCCCGGGCTTCTGCCAGGAAAAGCATAATTCAGACAGGTGGGCAAGATGAACCTGGGTAACAAGTATTTAAAAAGAACAGAACAGGGGTACTTTAAAACAATTCTGGCAGCATCTTTGCTATGCAAATCTTCCTAAGTGGCCAGACTTGCAGTCTCCTGCCTCTTAAACGGTTTGAAGTGTAAACCGGGTCCTGCACATGAAAGAAATTTAAATATTACAGAGAATATAAAGTGAATAAGGCGTAGGAAAGTTAGTAAAGTCTTCTATTGGGGGCCTACTCTTCTTTGGACATTACCAACAGCTGGCCAGGCTTTTCCTTTATTAATCTCTAAGTGGGTGGGGTCATTTCTCACTGTGAAGGCCTATTATTTTTATAAGAGGCCAAGTCCCCAAACCCTTTCAAAGTATCTTAAAACACCACTCAGACCCATTTCCAGAGCAGCTTGGTGTCTACCATAGGTTTTTCTAACAGAAGACAGATCACCCTCTAAGTTTTGTCAGTGCCTGAGCGCCAAATGGGACGGAACTAGCAGGTCGTAAAAAGTCAGTATCAAGAGCCGCAAAAATTGGTACTCAGAACAGGTTTGGTTCTAAGAAGAAACTTCCCGCCAGGAGTTGGAATCTGAAACGAAACGCCTAGGACACTGCACGAACGAAATTCATCCTACCGGGATCCCCCGGAGTGTGGATTCCGGCCTGCAACAACATCCCCTCAGAAACTCAAGTTCCTTACAAATTCGCCGCTATCCTCCTACCAAAACAACTCCAAGATGCTCGGTACCCAAGCCCCGGAAACAGCGATGCGGCCTGAGAATACGTCATCAATGGTGGCCGAGTTAGATCCCGCTCTTATTTCCTCCTCTCCTGGTCCCTCCTCCATTTCCTTCCCCTAGCTACGCGTCCCTAGTAGCTTGCCGCAGTAGCGCTGGCACTGGCCACACTGACGTTGTTCCCGCCGGGGGAAGGCTTAAGACAAGTTCGCCACTAATTCCAAGTATGCTTCAGACACAGGATGAAGGAGCCACCTCCCCCTTCTTCAGCCAGCTCGAAACTCTAGCCAGGGTTTGACTTCTGGGAGTTCCTGAGCACTAGCGAACCAACTCGTTCTTACACCCAAGCATCTTTTCTGCTAAAACAAAATGCTGAACCTGCCCGCCCCGCCCCAAATTTATGTTCTAGGTTGCTTTGGAAGCTTATCAAGCATTCTGATGTGAGAATTAATTTCCTCTCTCTCTCTCTCTCTTTTAAAAAAGATTCATTCGTTTGTTCGTTTTTTTATTGTGTATACACTGTTCTGCCTGCAGGCCAGAAGAGGGCACAAGATCTCATTATGGGTGGTTGTGAGTCACCATATGGTTAAGCTAATGGAAATTGAACTCAGGACCTCTGGAAGAACAGCCAGTGCTCCCAAATGCTGAGCCATCCCTAAAATGGATTAAATAAAAACGCTGCAGGATCCCCAGTGGCTGCAGCTGCAGAAACGCTGCAGGTCCCCGAGTGGCGGCAGGTCCAGAGAGCAGCCAGTCCCAGGAAGGGACCGTGCATTTTCCCAGTGGCTGCAGCAGGCCACGAGGAGGGGCAGGCAGATTGGCACACCAGGAGACCACATGGCAGGTCTCCCAAGGGGCTGGTCTCAGGCAGGGAGCCTCGCGGTGGGGGGCAAGAGAGAGACATGGCTAGGCACACCATGCAGAGTGAGGTTGGATATTTATTCAGTGGGTTATGGAGGGGGAAGGGGAGAAGAACAGAGAGAGCGAGAGAGAAGGGAGAGATGGAAGCTGCTTCTTGGAGAGGGAGAAAAAGGGAGAGACTCAGGTTGCAAGCAGGAAGGAAGCTCTGCCTGCCTCAGTGGAGGGGGGAGTGGGCGTGGCTTGTCTCTTAATGAGATAGAAGAGATTGGTTTTGGTTTTTCAACAGCATTTCTCTGTAGCTTTGGAACCTGTCCTCAAACTAGCTCCTGTAAACCAGGCTGACCTCGAACTTGGAGATCCGCCTGCCTCTGCCTCCCAAAAGCTGGGATTAAAGGCGTGCACCACCACCACCCGGCAAGAATTAATTTTCTTATATGAACAGTTGATTGTGATTTATTTAAGCTGTTGGACCAGTCCTGACTTGGAATGTGCCATTTCTGATGTGTTCATCTTGAATATGAAACTTGCCCATTTTTGTATCTCATACCTAACTCTCCCTGTATGCCTGAAGCACAGGGCCTTTTTGAAACCACAATTTCTAGGTTGGACTCTCCACTCATTTCTTTTTATCTAAACCATGACATATTGAGAAAAAAAATTGAAGTATGTTATTCCATTGTTTCCTCTTCTGAAGTATAGACGTAATAGCGATGCATACCTCCAACAGGATAATGAAAAGAGAAACAATATACTGAACTAGAAATATAATTCATTAAATTATCTTCTCACGGAATATGCTATTGGAGTAAATAATAAATGATAACAGCTAAATTCCGAGTTGTGTGTAACAAAACAGTGCTTACACATTCACTTTTTATTTAATTCCTAATAACATTTTGTTGGTTGTTAAATACACTCGTCTCACTTCTTGTTTATGTTTTGGTGGTAGTTTAAAGGCAGCCAGACCTCCTGTGTCACCACTCCCAACCCCAACGTTCAAACATTAGGACTTCCTCAAAGGCTTGCTCTTTGTTCTACAATAATACATCTTGCTATCCAAAGAATGGTTTGCCAGCGTTAACATTTTTACTTAGACAGATTCCACAAATCTCTGATCTTAACCCACACACTTAGTTAAGGAAATGAAAAAATGCTTCAGAATTGTGTCAAAAAAGCAGGTGTGATTACCCAAAGTGAATAAACTGGATAACTTCCCCTTCCAATAGTTCCACAACTGTCCACTTCTGCTCATTCTGTATTCTGTGGATTTAAAAAGGCCACTCAGCAGCAGCAAAAATAAACATCTTCTCTACTAGTCTATCTTATACAAACCACTTGCCACCTTGTTAATTTTAGTCCACCTTTTATTAACTCAGCTTCCTATGTTTTGGTTTTCTTATTGCTTCATAATAAGTCTAAAACACAGTGGTGTAAAACCTTCTATTTGTTTTGGAATCATAGTCTGTGCTTCTAGAGTTGAAATAGAGCTGGGTATGGTTGTGCAGGGCTTTAATCCCAGCATTTGGGAGGCAGAGGCAGAAGGATATCTGTGAATTAGAGACAAACCTGCTCTCCATAGACAATTCCAGGTCATTCAGGACTACATAGTAGGATTCTGTATCAAAGGTAAAAGGAGTTGACACAAGGTACAACATTTATATATGCCTCCTACAGGAGGTGAAACTGGCCAGGCTTTTAGAGAAATGCAGATACTGTGTGTTCTCACCTTTGTGTAATCTAAATCCATCGCAGTCACAGGCAGAAAATAAAGTAGTGGTGACTGGGAACTGGAAGGTGGGCTGAGTGGAGAGATGGTGGTCAAATATGGAAGTTTCAATAAATAGGAGGAATATTTTTTAAATCATTTTCATTTAATAATTTTGTGTATGGATGTTTGACTTCCTGTACATCTGTGCACCCCATGTGCACCTGGCACCTGCAAAGGCCAGAAGAAGGCATTAGATTCCCTAGGACTAGAATTATAGACAGTTGTGAGCTGCCTTGTGGGTGCTGGGAATTGAACCCGAGTCCTCTGCAAGAACAACCAGCTCTCCCAACTGCTGAGCTATCTCTGCAGTCCTAGGGGGCTAATTTTTGAGGTCTCTCATCAGCATGATCACTATGGGAATAAGAGGGCATTGATCTTTGAAAATTACTATGAGTATATTTCTAATGTTCATATCAGATGAGTTAAGTTTGACAGGCAATGGTTATATTAATATGACTGAATCATTCTGAGACAAGTTTAAAACCAGAGAGAAAAGTATGGAGATATGTAACCAAGGAAGAAGAACCTCACCCCCAAAATCTGAGAGTAAGAAACTTCAGCATAACTGAGGAAATTCAAGTTGCCTGCAAAAACAATGCCTCCTTTCCCAAAGGTATCTCAAGCAAGGTTGATAAAAACAACAAATAAACTGTTTACTCAAAGCCTTAATGTGTGTGATCTTGAATTTAACTATATTAGCCCTTGTCAATGTGAATCCTGAACAAAAGAACTGATAAAACACCTTAACGGTTACATTTAGAAAAGGAAATTAAGGGCTGGAGAGATGGCTCAGAGGTTAGCACTGGCTATTCTTCTAGTGGTCCTGAGTTCAATTCCCAGCAACTACATGGTGGCTCACAGCCATCTGTAATAAGATCTGGTGCCCTCTGTATATATAATTAATAAATAAATCTTTTAAAAAGGAAATTAAGTAAAATAAGCAAACCAGTTCATACTTTTTCTTATTTAATTTTAATCTTAACTTTTAAATATTTCTTAAATCTTTAACCCACTATAAATTATATCCTCTGAGCAGTTTAAAAGAAACAAAAAACATATGTATACCTAGTGATAAGAGTCTAAAGGAAAGAGGAAGGAGACAAGAGAGGGTAATGGGTGGTAATAGCAAAATAGGTTGTGTATTATGTATGAAAATCACTGTTCTTATAATTAATACATGCTAATAAAACTTTAGTATACCTCTCCCTTGTGAAATGCTCAGAACCATGCCTTATGTGTATACCACCCCCTTAATGCCCACATTAAATTTGCAGTGTGTGCTACTTACTATCCCTACTTCATAAGATCCCTAACATGCTTCATTAAAGCTCATCATAAAACAGTTTTTATTAGCATAACCAGGTATCTGGGATGAATCTCACTGCCTACACTGACAATTCTACATTGTATACATGTAATAACTTCACATTGAACCTCATTAACATACTTGTTAACATTCATGAAGATACAAATAAAAATAGATGAAAAGTTTTCTATGTAGTGTGCAACAAAATTCATCTTTGTCTCTGAGCTAAATTCACACAGATCTGACCACTGGCAATATGCCTAGCAATCCAGACGTCCTTTAGGAAGGAGCCCCAAGAAATGCCAGACTTGTCAGTGAAATGATCCATGGCAAGAATCTTCCTGCT